TTGAGAGGAGCATGGTAACCTCCCCCTTGACGAAGTCCCGTCTGTCGGCCGAGAGGTAGTGCCACTTCTGTTTGTCGGCGTGCAGGCAGGGTCGACTGACATCCGGTGAGTGATCACCTTTCGGTTGATGTCAGGCATATCGTCCGGTCCCCATGCAAAAATGATTGCATATGACCGCAGGACGTTGAGGATGCCATCGCGTTGATTCTGTGGGAGTTGTTTCCCGATTTTTAGGACCCACTCCGGCCGGGAGGTATCCAGAGGGACCTCCTCAACCTCTTCGGCTGGCTCGGCGTGTGGCCTCTCTTCGTCTTTGGTGATGGTGGCGGTGATGGTGTCTATTCTCTTCCCGGCACTAGCTGCTGGCTTTGTAAGCTTCAGGTAGCATGCTCGGGCTATCTTCTGGTTCCCCCGGGCGCAGCCGATACCACCGTTGGTAGGGAACTTCAGGCACAGATGTTTCATGGAGATGATGGCCTCCAGATCCTCTAGTGCTAGCCGCCCCACATCAAGTTGTAGGCGCATTCGAGGTTGACCACCATGAACTCCATGTCAATTCTGGTGCGGTAGGAGCCGTCGCCGACCTCCACGGGGAGGACTATCATGCCTTCGGCGTCGATAGAGTCCCCGGTGAAGCCGGACAATGGTGTCCGTATCGGCTTGAGCAGCGCTTTGTCCAGCTTTAGCTGCCTGAAGGTGTCAAGGTACATGACGTTGACAGAGCTCCCCGTATCGATGTAGGTGCGGTGGATGATAGAGTCACCTATCTCACACCGGATGACAGGGGCGTCTCTGTGTGACGCGGCCCCGGAGGCAGATCCTTGTCGGTGAAGGTGATCGCCTCCGTCCGCTATTTCTTCGGCTGGGGGGAGCGTAGGACACCTCCCCAACGTAAAGGGATTGGGCCCATTTCTTCCTCTGGGTGGCTGAGTCCCCCCGTATTACTCCCCACGATGAGGTTGATGTGGTTCCTCTTCGGATGGGGCTCTTCAAAGTCTTCCTTGTCATCGCTGAGCCTGCCGATCTCTTGCTTCTTCGTAGAGGGTTCACCCCCAGGCTTGCCAGTGTTTACCCACGTATTCTTACGTGGGCCACCTTTAACAAACTGGGAGAGTTCCCCCTGGCGAATCAGCTTTTCGATGGCTCGCTTTAGCATGACGCAGTCGTCTGTGTTGTGGGAGGTGTTCCTGTGATAACGGCAGTAGGTGCCGCCCTGATGGATGGCGTAGATCTCCTTGGCCAACTGAGGATCTCGTTCAATGAGATCGTGTTCCTCGGCGTAATCGAGGATCGAGCTGACCGAATGAGTGAGTGGGGTCTTCGGCCTTTCCATCCTCGGCCACCATATGTGATCCTTGTTCTTTCCGCTGGCCCCATGACGGATTTGTCCTCCCTGACCTCGGTCTCCGGCCGAGGGTGCTCCTGGAGCTGGCGCTGTGTTCATCTTCTTGGAGGGGTGCCCTCTGTCCTTGTTGTGGCTGTGGAGCTCATCGTCTTCAGCGTACAAGTTCCCTCGCTGGAGCGCCTTCATGTAGAACCTCGGCGGGTCAGTGATGAGACTCCTCGCATATGGGGTGCTGCGGAGGGCGCCCTGGAACAGGACCAAGATGGTGCGCTCATCGTCCCCCTCGACCTCATCGGTCTCCCCCGTCCATCAGTCGATGAACGACCGGAGTGATTCGTCATGTTGTTGCTTGACGAAGAGAAGATGGGTGAAATACTTCTTCGCGCGCTTCCTTCCAGCAAAGTGAGTGAGGAAGCGCTGGGAAAGGTCCTGCCATGAGTCTATGCTCCCTTCGGGGAGCGCGTTGAACCACTCGTACGTTGGCCCTTCAAGAGTAGAAAGGAACCAACGGCAGAGGTATTCATCTGACGCGTTCACCATCAGCATGTTATTCTGGTATCGGCTGAAGTGCTCCTGGGGGTCGAAGCGGCCGTCGTAGGGCTTGATGGCGTTTCCCCGGTACTTCTCGGGGATAGGGGCCGAGAGTACCCTGGCAGTGAAGGGAGTCCTCGTCCTGACTTGGATGATGGGGTCTCCTCGTCCTTCGGCCAACTCCCTCTCAAGGATGGTGACCTTGTTTAGAAGGGCGTTGAAACCGGGATCCCTGGATGAGTTGCCTGCGGGGGTGGCAGCCAACGGTTTGGCCTGCATCTGGGCTTGCCTTCGCTCGAGTTGGGCGATTACCTCATCCCTGGGGTCCTTGGCCGCCATGGCGGCGCCCTGCGTCTGCAAGCGGGCTGCGTGAGCCGTGTTGATTTGGTGACGGGCATCACCCTCATGCAGTTCCCCCTTGCCTTTGTCCAGGCGGGGCCGATCCGCTGTCCGGGATACCGACCCAAGCTTTCCCTGGGTGAGCCAGGCTCACGCTGACCAATCCGCCCCGCCTTCCTATCCGAAACAGGTCGACGGCACATGTCACCTAACCTGTTAAAGGCTGAGGCTTTTCCACGCGCTGGGGTCAGTCCAGCTCGAAGCGGGGAAGCAGGGTGGGAGTGGGATGACGTCGTGTATGTCCTGGGGCATTACCCCTTCTTCGTTGTCTAGCCTGACGGCCAACGGCTGGGGTTGAGGAGGTGGGGTTGTGTTCTCCCCCATCCTTGGCATGAACGCACTAAGGACAGTGGGGTTCTGGGCCAGGGTGGTGATGATGGCCGAGAGTGCGGCCTGGAGCTGGGGGTCAACGGCAGGGGAAACCAGTTGCCCCGAGACATTGTCGCCCTTTTGTGTGTGCTTCTTGTCCAAGCTGATGCAGGCATCTAGGGTGCCGCCGTTGAGCTTGTTGCGCAGGTCAGTGGTGAGGCTGATGGCTTCCTGGAAGACATCCTCGCCGGCGGCCTTGTCGGTCGTAGCGTCCTCCTCGTGTTCTCGGTTCTCTTGGGCCTCAGGGATGGCCTTGCCGAGGAGGTTGCAGTTAGACTTAGTTCGTCCCATTATCAGTTAGTTGTGCTTGGTAGCGACGAAGGAGGCTAACTTGATTGTTCTATCTCTCAACGAGAGCACCAAATGATAGAGTAATTGTTTAGAGAGAAGTGAGAGCTAGAGAGAGAAGTGCAGTAAATGCTTTGTATTAATGATTTGTGAACCCCCTACAACTACTCCCAAGGGGAGTATTTGTAGAGGAAATTAGGGCTGGGCTCCCACGTCTTCGGCTTGGGAGACCCGTTTACAATTGGGCCGCTATTGGGCTGAGTACAAGATGTGTAGAAATGACAAGTACAAAATTCGGTTCTGGGAACCTTTAGTGGCCGACGCGGCCATGGCCGACGGGGCCCCGGCTGACGAGGACATCCGGTTCTCCTAGCTTTCGGACCATGTTCTGAGTTGATATCTTTCTGGCCGATGGGGGGCCATCTGGCCGACGAAGGCCCCACTAGGTGACAGTTGTGCCTCTTATTCTTCTGAGCCCCATATACTCCATCACTCAAATAAAGTATATACACCATCTAGATAGTGAGGAGTGAAGTGCGAGAGATGAAAAGGCTTTCCGGGGTTCTTCGATCGTTCATTAACAATATGGCTGGATGTTAGCGATCCTATTTTTTCCGCTGCGTTTATATGATTTTTGGCTAACATGTGACAACCACTTTTTTGCTTTATGAATGTAATATGGAGTTAATTATCAAAATAGGACTAAAAGACCCTCACTTTGCACAAATAGGACCAAAAAATAAACTATGTATTCATAGGACTAATTATGTATGTCTTGGACAAATATACCCTTATAGCTATTGAAATGTTTTAATTCAAAATAAAATAATAAAAAGTAATAAAAATTCGTAAAAAATACTAAAAATTTAATAAAAATATTTTGATAATTATAATAAAAAAAATAAACACTCAAAAAAAATCACTGCCGCCTCTGCCGCTTCACCACCTCCACCTCTAGTCACCAGGTGAAAAAATGCCAAATTCATTACGAATGCCATATTTATGGCAGAAAACAATGAAAATGTTGGCATTCTCAAAGAGAAATATGCCATTTTCTTGGCATTTAAAAAAAATGGCAGTTTTTAGGGAAAATGGCATTTTTTCACCTGCCAAAGGTGGTGGTGCAGGAAGGTAGTACAGGCGTTGGGAAAGGCATCCATATTTTTTTTTATTTTTTTATGGAGTTTTACTATTTTTAATTAATTTAAAAAAAAAATAATAACTTTTTTTTTGAATTTTTTATTTTATAAATACTCCGTATTTTATAAATTTTTTAATTATTTTTCTACAAATTTTTGAAATTTTTTCGAATTTATTATGAATTAAACATTTAATTATGGTTTTGGCTATTTTTAACTCATATTTAAAGGAAGGGTAAGAATGGAATGAAAAAATAGGTATGTTTCCAATATGACTAATATGGTTCTATTTTGATAAAAAAAACATAGCAAATTCTATTTTGAGTTTTTGCCATAGTTTTAGTCCTATTTGAACTAATTTCTAATGTAATACTTGGTATGTGTTTGCTTAAGATGGATTATCCGAGATGTGTTAGCCTAGAATGTATGCATGTAACCTGTGATCAGGATTATGTGTGTTTGCCTATGCTAAGTGACTTATGATGATTTTGAGGTGTGATAACCTAGGATATGTAACACGTGATCATGTTTATCTGTGTTTGCCTATGCTAATTAAGTGAATTATGAAAAATGTATCACGAGAAGGTTGATGCATCAAACTCTAAAAAATGTATATACATGCCCCGACAATTGGTAACTTCTATTTCAAGTTTATCGCCCTTAGTTATCAATCAATTTATTAACCAAAAACCTAATTGGAATTGACTAAATTTATTGTACAAGATCACTTTTGTACTTTATCATATAATCTTTTGATTTTATTTTATAATGAGCAGTACTTCATAAAATATATTTTATATATAACTTTTTCCATAATCGAGGAGATTCATGTCATCATAATTTGATTAAGGTCTCTAATCTAAAAGACTAAAATATATACAAATCAATTTAACAGAAGTAACCATATGGGGAGAACATAATACTACACAAAAGCAAACAGGCGCAAACTGCCAAAAGGCACTAGTAGTCAATAATAATCTCATCTATCGCTGTCACGGCGTACGTACACAAGAACTGCTGCTACTAGCTACTACAACTTTCACCTCGATCTTCACATGCATGCAACGTCACTATATGCGATACTACCTGATGAACAATGCTCCTGCACAGGTAGACACGTGCTGCTGCTCGTGGTCATATTCACCACCTCCGTCACTTTCTTCCTCTTCTTCCTCCTCCTCATCCTCGGGGTCTTCTATGTCGGGGCGGTAGCAGCGAGACGCTTGAAACGAGCTCTCGCTGTGTGCCGCGTGCCCATCCCCAAACGCTCTGACGTGGTCTTTGAGGGATCGCTTGTGCTTAAAATCCGACCCGCAAATGCAAAACCAAATCTTCCCGCAGTTCTTCTCGTGAGTCTTCCAATCCCCTCTCACGGCGAAGGCCTTATCGCACTTCCGGCAGGAGAAGTGCTTCAAACCATGCTTCCTCTTGTAGTGTGTTTGGAGGGTTCTGAAGTCCTTCAATGGCTTTGATCTTGGATGCTCTATGTTGTTCTTGCATCCTTCTGCACAGCAATAGCACGGCAGCCTTAACCTCGATGAGGCGGCAGCGGTGGAGGCGGAGTACGGTGGTTTTGTTCCTTTTAGGGAATCCGGGCCTTTTCGGTACTGTGAGCCATGGCCCCACATATGCATCTGAATTATCAAGATTTAAATATATCTTTTAATTTGGACTTCTTTTTTGGGGGGGTAATAATATGAATAATTGAACTGCATGCAGGTAACCATTTATATACACGTAGTTTACCATAGAGGAAAATCGAAACTTTCTATTTTCCTATTCAGGAGATGGAACCCTATTCATAAACAGTAACCCCATTTCGTGCATAGTGTCAAGCCATAAATAGTAAAAGTATTCACCCACCAAAGGTAAATGTTATGTTGTACGTGCAGACCGCAGATAGATGTGGTTTATTTATTTATTTATGTAACCCATATAGCTGTAAAGTTTTTCTAGTCTAGGAAAAGAGTGACAACAATATTGCTTACATTATAAAATTAGCAAAAGTTTCTTTAATTCGTAATCGACATGTTATATATTATCCTTAAAAAGCTCAAATGTACTCCGTACCAGTATACTCCGAGCCCGATTGGTAACACTCAAATTGACTAAATCGGCTAATTTTGGTGAAATATATGAAATTTTAGTTTAAATAACTGAATTGGCTGATTCTGTTGAATTGATTTATGGAAAAAATATAAGTATTTAAAATAGTTTTTTAATTAGATAAGAAAAAAACTCTACGAAAAATAGCTAAAATAATCGTCTACCGTAACTTAAGTCAATAGAATCAGAAAAGTAATTATAAACTTACTTTTTCTTATTATTACAAATTCACCTCTACATCTGTCCAACAATTAAGCTCTTAATTTATTTAACTTTCTCAATCTTCAAATTCCTCCTTGTAATAGTAACATATTTACCTCATAGAATACCCTTAATAGCTTGAGTATTAATCAATATCTAAGAAAGTTTTATATATCTAGGAACTATATACGGAGTATAATAAAAGTTTTCTTCAATTTTAAACACGTACCAAATCTAAACTGATTAAAGATGGATACTCAAAATTAGGTGAGATTAAAATGAACTTGTGTTGAGCCTATTCACCAAGAAAAGTAAAATCGAAAATCATTTTGAACGAAAGAAGTGTGACTTTTTAAGTGTAGAAATTGAGGGTCAAACTTAGCAAATTAAAGTTTGACTCAAAATGTGAGTGGGATTGGGGAGCTAGTATGTACTTTTGAATTTAGTTTTGGTTACAACATTGCCCTTTCTTTAGGTAATTCAAATCACAACAGTTATCTAAGAAAATGAATAGGTTCCTAATTAAATTCTAATAATCAAATTGCATGAAAAAAAAGAAGAATTAACCTGCATGTTGTTGAAGCGATTGAATGTTTTGTTACAAACAGTGCAAGAGAACTGAGTGGGACCAACAAGGATTTGAGCTGGTGTAGGAATCCAGTACTGCCTAAGACCAAGAGAAAGCCCTCCTCCTCCAGTAGCTGCTGCCGCTGCAACGTCACCGCCGCTAGGGCTAAAATTGCTTGAGCTGCTGCTGCTAGCTCCAAGCGGTGAAGGCGATGGCGGCGGGCCCATGTGAAATGCCACGGTAACACCCCATTGATCATTATCGTACTTGTGCAGCTGGTTCTTAGGGTTTTGGGGGCTTTTTTTACTATGAGGTTGGCCAGGAGGGCCTAGAGACAGAACAGTGGAGGCTACATCCTCATCATCATCAACTACTAGTTCATCATCTCGTTGTCCCCGCCAATAAGCGGTCCGACTACTCTCTCTCGTTCCAAAAAAGGTGGAATCGTCGACCCGAGGCCGCACATTATTTTCTCTAGAGGCTATTATCATGTGGGTGAAATTAGGCTTTTGATTGGCTTGCATGGTATTGTTAGCTAGGTAGCTAGGCTGCAGGAGTTTTGAATTTGTGTGCAGTGAAGGGGGAAGAAGATGTATAGTATGGTGATATGATGGAAATCAAGTGATGATGATGAGACAGACTATGAATTAAATAAGCCAATGTTTCATGTTTGTGGGTATGCTAGCTAGGGCTAGGAGAATTTTGTAAAGATATGTATATATTTCCTTCGGTCCTAAATAAACTTCATACTTTGATTTTACACAAATTAAATAGTAGTAAATAAATTTGACTTTACTGTAGAGTACACTGTTGTGACAATGTTTGACACTGTTTTCCACTGTTTTGATGTAGATAATTTGCCAAATAAGGAAAGTGTGAAGTTTATTTTGGACCTACCCAAAATGGAAAGTGTGAAGTTTATTTAAGAGCGGGAGTATATGGGTGCAGGAGATCGACAAGATGGTTTCCCAACTATTATTTCTGGTTCACAGTTTGAGAAGAACCAGATCGGAGGGCTAAGATCTCGATTATGGCTGGTGGCCCCATTTAGGGGCGGATTTCTTTTGTTCACACGCACTCTATATTCACCCCAATAGTCAAAGTTTCGAAAATAAAAAATGCAAATATTGTACGGAGTACTATGTATTTTTTATGTAATATCTCTTACTTTTAAAGAAGTTTGCTAGTTATTTTTTACGGTCATGTTATATTTCTTCAAATATTATAGTGTGTATTTTTTTATGTAATATCTCGATCTTACTTTTAAAGAAGTTTGCTAGTTATTTTTTATGGTGATGTTATATTTGGTCATTTGTTAGTTCAACGATATTATTATGTTGTTCAAAATTTTAATGATAAAATAGTTTGAATGTTCATAATTTGATTGTAAGATGCGCCACCGCGCGCCAACACAAGTTTTTTAAATCGAAATAACAAATTTACAGTGAAAAGACTAGATGAGTGCTATAGTACATCACAAATAAACAAGAGAAAATTGTTGTCCGTGAGATCAATTCATACAAATTTTATAAAAGTAGGACTTCTTTAGTTTTTTTCCATCTGTAATACTTATATACTCCTGATAGAGTATATCTAGAGAGAAGTGAGAGCTAGAGAGAGAAGTGCAATAATATGCTTCAATAGAATGATTTTGTAACCCCCATAACTACTCCCAAGGGGAGTATTTATAGAGAAAATACGGGCTGGGCTCCCAAGCCTTGGGCTTGGGAGGCCCATTTACAACTGGACCGCTACTGGGCCGAATACAAAGCCACTAATGGGCTGTACAAATGAGTAAGTGTAGAATCCGGTTCTGTGAGGTCTTCGTGGCTGACGAGGGCGTGGCCGACGAGGACACGGCCGACGAGGGCGCGGCCGACGAGGGCACCCGGGTTCCTTGGGCTCAGGACCATAATCTGGGTTAGCACCTTTTCGGCCGACGGGGGTCCCTTGGCCGACGAGGGCGCCACTCTGTGTCTTGTGCTTTCTGTTCTTCTGAGTATGTGGGTCCGGGGGCTCAGACCCATATACTCCATCAGGAGTCCCCCACTCTCTAAGCTGAGACGTAGATGAAGTGAAGGAGAGTAGATTCCCGTGCTTTGGTGCTTTTGGCCGATGCGGGCATTCCCAGGCCGTTAGCTGTTGCGGCGTTGGCGCTGTTTCCATTTTGGTGATCCTGTTCTGTGCTTTGACCGTTACCTGCTCCTCGCTGTGGACGGGGAGGCCGTTGTTTCCTTGATGTATTCGTTTGGGGACGATGAGTGTCCTGCTTCAATGGTGGCCGTTGAAGGCGCGCTTTCCCTTTCTTGGACGTTGATGGTTGAAGTTTACATTTGGGCCGTCGAGGCCACTGAGGTTGAACCTTGCTTCGAGGACGATGGCGTTCTTTCCTTTGGGTGGCCGATGAGGGTGTTTGCGCACTCCTTTTGGCCGTCGCTGATTGGCTTTCGTGTTCCTGGCCGAAGAGCCCATTATGATCAACTGTTCGTGGAGGACGATGAATGTCCTTGCCTTAGGTGGCCAGTTGGTCGTTGCTGATGACGTTATGTGCCTTTGGCCGACGAGGCGCAGTGTGATACATGGACGATGTGGCCATGCTTTGTGGTTACATTGTTCTTTGCATTTTTCCTTTTTGTTTTGTTGAGGCCGATGTAGTCCCCCAGTCCCCCACTGCTTCAGGCCGAAGAGAGTGAGGGGTGAAGGAGTTGCTTGAGTCCGGGCCGAAGCGGCCTCTCCGTAGTGCCCCTGAATCCAACCCTCATGGCGATTTTCTGGCCAAGGTAACCCTGTGGGAGAACCCTTGTGCGCAGATCGCTTGTAAAGAGTTATCATCAAGGGTCGTTACAGAGGGCCGATGGGCGTGCATGACATTCCTGGCCGAAGTTATCTCCTTAGTGTTGTCATTGGTGAACTTGGCAGGCGTATAGGCCGTTGTGGGCGCTTGCTGGCACTTGTGAAGCCGGCAAGCATATAGGCCGTTGTGGGCGCTCGTTGTCCGTGTGATCCGTAGGCTTTTACTCCGCTGATACGTTGGTTGACGAGCCCGGCCCATTTCTGAAGGGGTGGCACCTCATCGGCTGCTGGGAAGGTGACCGCTGAGGTGGCCATTGATATGGTGCCACGTGTAGTGACCGTTGAAGATTTGTCTATAAATACCCCCCCTCCTCCGAAGCGGTTCCTCACTTGCATTCCTGAGATATTGAAGTGCTGCCCAAATTTCTAGAGAGATAAACTCCCAAGCTCGTGTTCTTCGTGTTCTTCGTGTTCAAGGTTAGTGTTCATCGCAATCTTCTGTACTTTGCATACTTTGCTTCCTAAGCTAGTGATCTAGTGTTAGGCGCTTGAACACGCTTAGATCCTAAGTTATTCCCCTTAGGCTCGTAGTAGTTGTTATGATGAAGAGCTTAGACGAAGAGTACTATCCGTACGACGACCAGCCCTCCACTAGGTCACTCGACTATGAGGTGCTTGAGGAGTTCGAGGAAGAGATACAGTGTTTAAGTCCTTACAAGTCCGGAGAGTCGGTGGACGACGAAGGTGAGGACGAGGAGTCCGCCTCATCTTCAAAAAGTGAGGACGCAGGTGCGTCCTGAGTGGTGGACGGGGCGTCCACTTCAACTGTTATTCCGTGCCCGAGACCGGTGTCTGCCGTGAAGGGAGCAGATAAGCCGAAGAGAATAAGGAGGCCGAAGAGCGGGCCGAGCGTCTCTTACCTGGATCTCACAAATATTTTCTTGATCAAGCCGGAGAGCAGCGCGGCTGACTACTTGGTTGCCCAGATGTACGTGGGGCCGTTCGAGCGGGTTAGGGCACCCAGGCTGACGGACCATGTACTTCATCCGCCACCGGGATACTTTGGAGTATACCCGATGAGTTTCGCCAAGGGGCTGAGGTTTCCCCTTCATCCCTTCATCACCGAATATCTTGACATGGTGGGGCTCCCTCCGGCCTTGCTGACGCCGAACAGCTACTCATTGATGGTGGGGTTCTTGCTCCGCTGTGAGGAGCTGGGCTACAGGCCGACGACGCCTCTGTTCATGAATCTGTATCAGATAGGCCGAGGAAGCCACAAAAATTGTGCGGCCTATGCTACCCCCCAACAGCTGCCGAAGAAGAGGAGCTTCACGGATTTGCCTTCGTCCATCCATGGATGGAAGAGCAAGTTCGTTTTTGTATTCCTTGGTGAGAACGGCACCGAGTTTCCCTCTCTCGGCCATACCGGGAGGTTCAATCTGCACGACCCGCCGAGGAGTTCTATCTTGGACGCTCAGGTGGAGGCGTTCTTGGAAGGGGGGCCGAGGAGCGTGAAAGACGACATCACCGAATATAAGATGACCGCCCTCGGCTTCTCCAGATACTATGTGTATGGCGACAAGGAGGACGATGTCCAACTTTGGCCGAGGATGACCACTACCTTCGAAGAGGCCGACGGCCCGGATTTGGGCATTCCTGCTGAGGCCGATGGTAATTCTTTCTTCGGCTTTCTTCCTTTGTTATTTGTTCTTTTGCCTTGCTAATCTGTTCGTTTTCCTTTGTGTAGATTTTGTCATGGATCGCCGTTCAATCATGGCTATCGCCAAGGCCAAGGCGGCCGAGGAGTTGGCTGCAAAGGCGGCCGAGGCGGCCAGACGTGCCGCGGCCGAGGGGGGCGGGGCTACTGCTGGTGCGGCCCCGAAGCCTGCCCAGTCCAAGAAGAAGAGGCCTCCCACTGACGGCCAGAAGAAATTGACCGAGGCCGGCCTGAACGTCACTAAGAAGACGAAGAGGGACCCTCTCCTTCCCATGCTACTGAGGCCGGCACTCTGACCGTCCCAAGTGTGGACGATAGTGGTCCCGTTGTGGATCTTACTGCTGCTCCAAGCGATGCTGCCCAATCGCTCCCTCTCGTCCAGGAGCCACGGACGAAGAGGGCCGGCAAGGAGATTGCCGCTGCCACCTACCAGAAGATGGTGGAATACCCCGTCGGCGGGGGTGTTTTTGACGATGTCGTCCTCGGCCACGATGTGCTGGCCCAGGCCATGCCGGCCAAAGATCGGGCCTACCTCAAGAGGCTCGGGGACGTGAAGGTGTACGAAGGCGGGATGGACCTCCTCGTCCAAGTAAGTTCCCTTCCTTCTTATTTGTCGTTTTTCTCGTCGTCCGGGTGGAATCATTTGTCTGAGTCTTTGTTTGCCTTTTTTGTGCAGGGTGCCTTCATGCTCATGGAAAGCCACAAGAGGCAGCACCGGGAGATTGCTCGCCTGAGGGAGCTTGAGCAGAAGGCTGCCTCGGCCGATGAGGCGGTAGCCTGCTTGGATCGGCTCCGGGAGGATGCACAGGCCTTGCAACAGAGGGCCGACGAGGCCGCTGCAGCCAGGGACGATGCCCTGGCCAAACTCGAGGAGAGCCAGAGGGCGCTTGAGGCTGAACGGCGCAAAAATGATGAAGTCGTGAAGGCAAAAGCTGAAGCTGAGGCTGCCACTGTGAAGGCCGCTGATGAGGCCGTTAAGCAGTTCTTGGCCGAGGGGTGGAAGGCCGATGACCGGCTCTCCTGGTGTTATGAAGTGGTGGCCGCCAAGCTTGAAGATTGGGGAATGAACTCCCCCGCCGGCCAGGAGTACTTCAGCAGGGAGATGGCCGTGTACTACAACATGGGCTAAGAGCGGATGCAGAGGCTCCTGTGTCG